AGGCGTGAGCCACCATGCCTGGCCACCACTGGCTTTTGATATTTTCCCTGCTCAAGTACCAAGCACTGTTTGAAAAGCTGAGACATTAACTTCTCGTGGACAGTTCTAATTTAAAAAGAAAATGAAAAATGTATAGAGTAAGAAATCCAGTTTCCCTTAAAAATTACATTTTATGATTATCTGAGCCTCCTTCCCCGCCCCCCACCAAAAGATGGCATTCCCTTCACTGTACTCCCACGTTCTCTGTTCGTAAAATGGTTTTCATCACCTTATATTGTCATTGTGACCTCTTCCTCTGCAAGACGAGAGCCACATTTGTTTTTTGTTTTTTTTTGTTTTTTTTTTTTTTTTGAGACAGAGTCTCACTCTGTTGCCTGGGCTAGAGTGCCGTGGAGTCAGTCTAGCTCACAGCAACCTCAAACTCCTGAGCTCAAGCGATCCTCCTGCGCCAGCCTCCCAAGTAGCTGGGACTACAGGCATGTGCCACCATGCCCGGCTAATTTTTTTTTATATATATTTTTAGTTGTCCAGCCAATTTCTTTCTATTTTTTTAGTAGAGACGGGGTCTCGCTCTTGCTAAGGCTGGTCTCGAACTCCTGAGCTCAAACAATCCACCCGCCTCGGCCTCCCAGAGTGCTAGGATTACAGGCGTGAGCCACGGTGCCCAGCCCACATTTGTTTTTTAGTCCACACCCACCACAGTCCCTATAACACAGTAGGTGCCTTATATATGTTTACTGGATTTTATTCCTGCCACATCTCCCAACAGACAACTACTGTTCAATTGGATTTGCTCTCAATCCTGCCATAGGTAAAAAGCAATTTTACAAAAATCAGTTACCGGGTTATGGATGATGGTGCGTAGGTTATTTAAGGACAACATCATTCTTTTCCACCTGATCGCTGATTTTATTGACTGGTGTCTCTCTTCCGTGTATGATTTAAGATTTTAAGCAAGTTTCATTTAAAGGTTACCTAGATTGAAACTGAGGAATTTGCCCTGTGTAAAGTCAAAATAGAGAGAAAGAAAAATAAGCATACATCACTTTTCTTCACATCATAGCTATTGTTAAGTTTAAATGATACATTATTTTACTGATATTTACCAAATAACAGGATGTTCTTACAATCAACGATCTGACTCCCATTCTTACCAGTGTACTTATGTTACCAAAAGCTTGGCCACTTGTCCTCAAGGCTGCATCAGAAGAACAAGAACAAATGTTTTGAGGAGAAGGAAAGAGAAATTTTATTTGCCGGCAAAAGAGGAGGATGGAGACTCCTGTCTGAAAAGCCATCGTCCTCCCAGTAAGCAGAGATACAGAGCTTTTAAGGATGGGTTCTCAGCTTCAGGCAATTACTGTTCAGCTAAAATTGATGATTCTGATCCTCCCATCTCCACTGAAGGCAATCCCCTGACCGTAGGACCTCCCTTTACCACGTCTGGGCTGGGCCATCTCCTTTGGCACAAATAACAAAAGACTCATCCTGCCTGCCCCAACCTCTGGCCTGAGGTAGGGATGCAGGTTTTAGTTCTCAAAAAGGAGTGGAGGATGTTTTAAAGAGACAGGCCATTCCCTCTGTTACACTTATACACTCAATAATTTTAGATTATGAGTCCAGGAAATACTGATTTAGAAAATAAATCAGTACAAAATTTCTAACATGTAATTTATTATTACAAATACTAAAATAAAATACTGGCAGATACTAATCGAACAGTCCTGTACAATTATCAGTGGTATTCATTTAACTTTTCTTGTCTGTAAAATGAGAATAACAATAGTATTCACAAGGTAGGTTTGTTCTAAGGATTAAATGAGTTAAAACATCGGAACAGTAAGTGCTACACGTTAGCTATCATTATTATTATTACTATGAACAGAAGAGATTGCTCTTCCTCCTCCAAATTCAATCAAAAGGGAAAAAAGTCCAATTCTTTTAATACTAATAGTTTTCTGTTGTTAAAAAAAAAAGGCACAGAGTGGGAGAGCTGGAAAGCATCAGCCACATTTTTAAAGATAAATGTACCCATCCACACGACATTTAATAGCTCCAGGGAAAATTAATGACTAAGCGGAACCGAAAGAGAATCGAAACTAGAGCTTCCTACATTTTACTTCCAGCAATTCTGTACCGCAATACCCACTGGAAAAATCTGTTACTTTTTATTTATTGACAAAAAAACTGCATTTCTCTTGATTTACCACCTAAATATAACCCCAGTCTGGGTCACTAACTCATACGTTAGTCAAAACCTCAAAACTCTTTGTTCGGCTCCGTGAAATTCAGGAAGCACAAACAAGAGCAAAAAGAATAGATACAGAGTTGCAATCGCCACATTCATAATTTACGCCGTGACCAGAGAGTGACCCAACTAAGCCACAGGCGTCATTAAAACCAATCAGTCCTCGAAGTATCCATAGGGACAGGTCCCGCCGTCAGGAATAGTTCCTATACTTCACAAGAAGCCGGCACTTGTGTTTTACGGACGATCAAAGGAAGGCGGATGACTCGCGTTTTCTAATGTTCAATACCGCAGTCAAATGACTTGGCACCTTAGAGTGCGTGTCTGGAGTCAGGGAGGGCAATGGAGGTCTGCCGCTAAACTGTCATTAGAAATACGGGAAAGAAGACTTCCCCAGCTTCCCCCGCTAGGAGGTGGCGCTCGGCCTTGGGAGGGGAGGGGGCAGGTGAGAGCAGCCCAGGTGCTGTGGTTTGCAGCGAGGGGACACCCCAGTGCCAACAGCCTGACCCAGCCAGGGATGTCCAAGGAAGGCCACGACCCCCGACAATCCCTCATTCCGCGGAGCCAGCAGACGCAGCTCCCTCGCCGCGGATGGGACCTGCGGACGGGATGGACTGGACAGTGTCCCACCCGACTCTGATTTACGGACAGTGACGTCCGAATCCCCTCCTCGGCTATCGCGACCATCAGAGCAGCCACGCCACTGGCGAGGCCGGTGGGTCGCCAGACTTACCCAGACCCCGGTGTCGCAAGAGCTCCACGCAGGAGGCTGTTTGTCCTCCGCGAAGTGCCGTCCGGGTTCCCAGCCCAGGCGTCCGCGGGCGGCTACGGGAAGTGACAGGAGTCAATCCTCGTCCATTTCCCGGTTCGCGCGCCCTGGCGCCGCCGTCGGCCCCGCTTCTGTGTCCGGGGCGTCCTCGCGGCTCTGCGGGGCTTCAGGCAGCGCCCCTGCCGCTGATCGATGCCCAGCCCGGCCTCCTGCACAGTCTCCGGGGACTTGGAGCGCGACCACCTTGCAGAAGGACGAGCAGAGAGGGACGAGGACAGAGCGTGTCCTGGGCGGGTCTGGCTGCCTTTGCCCCGACGGCGGGGGCGGGGGGAAATGGGAAGGAAAGAAGCAGAAGCTTTTTTCTCCCGCAGCAAGTGTGCTTCCGCCCAGCCCACAGTTCCCCACTTCCCCGACCCCGGGTCTAGGAGGGAGGGCGCTCAGGGCTGGACCCCTCAGGACCGTCGTCCACACCGCACAGGCCCCGCCTTGACCCAGCGGCGGCCAGAGGCACCTTAGCGGGCCTTGCGGGGGCGCCCTGGGGCAGGGGCTCCGCGCCAGGCTGTTCCGCAATGTTTGCTTCCTTGTCTGCCTTGATCAGAGTCCAGACAGCCAGGAGAGATAACCCGGCTCGGAGGCGCTCCTTGTGCCAGTGTACACTTTGGACGTGTGTAGGTGAAACGGTGGGGAGGTGGGGTCAGGAGAGCTGGAATGCGCCCACCTCATAGCCCCTCATCCGTTTATAATAACTCGGACCCGCAGCCACTGTGCATTAGTCGCCAATTATTTTGTGTCCTGACTAGGAAATGTTTGAAAAATCTGAGGTGAAGAAATGACTATGAATATTTCAAAATATTTTGCATATGAAGAGTGTGAACTAAAATAAAATTTTAAGGCTCACCCACCACCAGCTGACGAAATGGACCCCCTCGTGGCCAAAGGAATATCCTAAAACTAAATTGCCTGCCAGCAGGAAGGTCAGACATGCCTTATCATGTCCCCCTCCCTTCTTGGGGACATCCTTTGTAACCCATTAACAATCCTAAACTCTGATCTTTTTCTTTTGCTCAAAATTCCTTCCTAAGGAGGCCAGATGAGTCATGCCTACAAATGATAAAAATCTCAGTAAACAGGTTTTTCATGACGTTGTTTACTTCCCAACCTGATTCTGGTATAGCATCATGTGATAGATAAAAGACCCTCAAACATTCCTTTCAGCTGATTCCTGGTCTTTTGGACAAAACCTAACTCTTTCAGCCAATGGTCAACTAATGAATCCCTAAATCCACCTATGATTTGTAAGGCCCCCACCCCTTTGAAATGTCCAGCCTTTTTGGGCCAAACCAATGTATGCCTCCCATGTATTGATTTATTACTTTACCTGTAACCCCTGTCTCTCTGAAATGTATAAAACCAAACTGTAACCCAGCCACACCGAGTCCACTGTTCAGGACCTCTGGGGTGTGGCTCTGGGTCACGGTCCTCAAATTGGGCTCAGAGTAAATCTCTTTAAAATTATTTTACAGAGTTTGGTCTTTTTTCCGTTGACAAGATGAACAGAGAAACAGCGTTGTGGTTGAGGAAGCAGTGGAGTAAAGGGAAGAAGTTTGGTTTTCTTGTTTTGTTTCTTAAAAGAAAAGATAACTATAGCGGTGGCTTTTATACTTTTTTTTTTTTAGGTCGCTCTGTGGCCAGGGCTAGACTGTAGTGAGTGGCGTCATCACAGCTCCCTGCAACCTCAAACTCAGGGGCTCAAACGATCCTCCTGCCTGGGTCTTAGACTTTTTTTCAGTTGACCCCCAATAAGAACTACGTTTAAGAACACTCTTGTTAGGTGTAAAGCAATGTATTTTTCGATTTGAAAAAAATACTCCTTATAACCCACTAAAATTTTTGCAAGACCCGCTAATGAATTGTGATTTGAAGTTTGAAAAACTCTCAGTGGTGTGTTGGGGTTAGCTCATACTGGCTCATACTGCGAGAGCCAATTTCACACATCTCTTCCATGTTGACACCTTGACATTGTCCAGGAAGTATGGAAATTAGGCAACTGCTATAACTTAAGACCTTTTTTCCCCACAGAAAGCCAGATGTTAAACATTTACCAACACACTACTGACTACTCATGTGAATGACCCAGTGGAGAGGAGAGATAGGGGAGCAGTTCTTAAAATGGTTTTGCCCAAAAAACACAGGAATAAATGTTTTGAATATCAATTCAAAACAATAGCATAGATGTTACAAATTATTTGCCACAATTGTCTTAGAGTTACAAAGATAAAAGGATCACTTCTGGTAGAAACAATTTCTTTTTCATCTTTTATCGTCCTCTTTCCTTACTCAAGAAATTTATTTATATAGTATAATGTGGCCATAAATTTAGAAATAGTATGATATAAAACTATTAAGTTTTATAAGCAAAATGTTAATATATGTTGCCCAAAATTTTTAAAACTTGTAAACAATCACATGACTTAAGACTTTTGAATTGTACACTGTGTATGCTCTTGCCACTTGGCAGGATGAACTGATTAAACAGAAATACCTGCCATATTCTGTCAATGATGTGAATTATACTGTTTCAAGCTGAGAAATACTCTGGCAGTGATTTTGCTTATTAGTGTGTTGCTGCATTATTTTTGTTGTTAATATAATTTTAAAACTTTTTGACACCCCTCCTCAACCATTCATTAAATAGTGATGTCAGTGCTGGAAAAATATTCGCAAATGAATAATTTTGGAACACAGGTTAGTTATGAGAAAACAGTATGAAGAACTTTCAACAACTGCCTTGATATGCTATGAATTTAGAAGCCACAACTCTAGAATCTATGACAATAATAATACATAAAAAACAATATTAAAACAAAAATTTGCCATTAATGGTTATAGACCTATGAGCCCTGAAAATATGTACCCTGTTTTCCATTTATTCCCATGAGAAAATTAGTCAAAATAGGTAGGTTTTTAATTATGCAGACTCTTTCAGAAATGCATTCTTTACACAACTACAACACTCATGTTCCTTATGCATATGTCTACCCCCCTGGGAAATTTCATGGTTGGTGTCATCTACCTCTCTGATTCTCTTCTTAAATCTAAATGGACTCATTTCCTCTTCGAATCCTCTTGCCTTGGCCTAATCTGTCCCACAGCCAATCTAACACCATCTATGAGCACTTCGGCCTCTTTTTTCCACCTCCCAGACCCCGTGTGCTGAAATTCACCAGGCTTACCTCTTATGTTCTACAGGATCATGTGCCAAATCTAGTCTTTTCAGGTGTGAGAATCAGGCTTCTAGAACTATGGTTTTGTCATAAAATAGAACCTTAGTGATGGGAGAGATCTTAAGAGGAGTGTAAATTAAATTAATACATCTCAATGGCTCATAGGATGAGATGTCCCAATTTTTTAAATGCTTTTTTGAATGGCTTATAGACTATGGTATGTTAATACTAGAGAATGCTGAATTGTGATTTGACATGAGAAAAATTTATCTGAAATTATGTAAAATTTAAAGGCAAAACAAAACAATACTAAAAATGCGTAAGGGCCGGGCGCGGTGGCTCATGCCTGTAATCCTAGCACTCTGGGAGGCCGAGGCGGGCAGATTGTTTGAGCTCAGGAGTTCAAAACCAGCCTGAGCAAGAGCAAGACCCCATCTCTACTAAAAATAGAAAGAAATTAATCGGACAACTAAAAATATATATAGAAAAAAAAAACTAGCCAGGCATGGTGGCGCATGCCTGTAGTCCCAGCTACTCAGGAGGCTGAGGCAGAAGGATTGCTTGAGCCCAGGAGTGTGAGGTTGCTGTGAGCTAGGATGACACCACGGCACTCACTCTAGCCCGGGCAAAAGAGTGAGACTCTGTCTCAAAAAAAAAAAAAAATGCGTAAGTAGTGTGTGTGTGTGTGTGTGTGTATACACACACTATATAAAATAGTATATCCCAGAAATAATTGTGGGATACCTCCAGTATACTAGGCAACATGTTAGGCACTAGAGATCACTGGTGAAAAATATAGCTCTCCTGGAGCTTAAAATCTAGTCAAGGAGTCAAACACTAAGTAATTATTAAATACATATATGTATTTAGTAAAGTACTAAAAACTGATATTAGTAACTGCTAATGCTCGTGTCATCTTTGTTCCTGCAAAGTTATGGGATTCATTAAAAGGCTTCCCTCAGCAAGCCAATCTCAATGCTTAACCAACCCTTCTTGCACATAGCTAGTCTTCTTCCAGCTTATGTTTACACAGCTCATTATAACATAAAGTGGCAAGTGAAAACTCAAGAGAAGAATTTCCATGACAGGTTAAAGCAAGCAAGAAATTGGGGTGGTTCTTTAAATAGGAAAATGCTATTGAGTCCAAGTAATTTTTTAAAAAAACACTTTCGGTATTTAAAAACATACACAAAAGAGCGATGGTGTGATGAAGTCCCCAGTTCTCATCGTCCAGCTCCAGCAATTATCAACATGGCCAATCTTATCTCATCTACACCTCACCCACTTCCTCCCATCACTGGCTCATCTTTGAAGCAAATCCAGACTTCATTTAATCTGTAAAAGCTTCAAAACTGGTTGTTAGACTTAAAAGTTCGATCCACCCTGGTTTATTTTTTGGCCAAAAGACTTTCTAGGTGATATGTACTTCCAATTGTAACTCATCAGGAAGCACAAAATGTCTGGTTGTTTTTCTTTTTTTTTTTGATGTCAAAACCAGTCAGTGGTTTCAGGTGTTGTTAGCCTAATCTGTCTATTACAAAGTTCCCATCGGTTTTTAATCAGACGATTTTAGCATCTAGTTATTGGTGGCCATTGCCTAGATCCTCTATTTCATCAGGAATTGAAAAATGGTGATATTCCAATTCTATTCTTCCTCCTGTATTTATTAGTAGGAATTCTTCTATAAGGAAATAATGTTGTCTTCACCTACTATTTAGTGACTGCAATGTGAAATTTATACCAGAAAGGCAAGGTAAGTGTTTGATTCCTTCCCTTTGCTTACGGGTTTTCAGAATAACAAGCTGGTTTCCCCAGCCTCTGTCAAAGGTACCCAGTGGGTCATTAGACAAGTTTGTCATTATGCGGACATGATAGAGTGTACTTTCACAAACCTAGATGGTATAGCCTACCACACACCTAGGCTACGTGGTATAGCCTTTTGCTCCTAGGCTACAAACCTGTGCAGACATTACTGTACTGAACACTGTAGGCAATTATAACACAGTGGTAAGTATTTATGTATCTAAACATATCTAAACATAGAAAAGGTATAGTAAAAATGTGGTATTATAATCTTATGGGATCACTGTTGTATATATGGTCCATCATTGATCAAAATGTTATGGGGCACATAACTATATATTAACGTTTCTGCCTTCAGTAAAAGATAGCATACTACACATAGATTTGCACTGTACTCTTTTTACTTAACATGTAAACTGAAGATCACTCCA